CTCTCTCTCTCTCTCTCTCTCTCTCTCTTTAAAAAAATGTATAACCTAGAGAAAAAAAGCATAACTGTTAAAATTTCAGAAAAACAAATATTTAAAGTCACTGCGAATTGTCCTAAGGACATATAGTATATAAAGGAATATCAATTTATGAAAACTTAAAAATGTTCATTAAGAGCAGTGGAAATCTCTTGACATTTGATGCAGGATCTATTCACAACCATGGAACTTCTAGTTTATTTAATAGAAACATATCCAAGAACAAAATGCATTTCCACAGGTGAGTGAGGTTACTACATTTATAATCTTCCTCCCTAAGTTTCTGACCTCCTACCCAACCAGTCACTACTCATAGAACAGAAGATCTTCTTCTAGTAGTAGACAAAAAAATACCAGACCACTGGCATCAACCACAATCATATCAGATCACTCAGATGTAGGAAGTCCCTCATAGTAAGAGGAAAGCCAAGAAGACAGAAAGGTACCACCCCAATAAACACCATGCTCCTAAAGGTAACACTTGAAGTAAAGGAGTAATTTTGGACACCCTACTGTCCAAAATGTTGGTAGAGATATTTTCTCCAGGAGTAGAAGCAGGCAACAAGAACAAAGAGATAAAAAGTTCCTTCCTATTAAGCTGACTTTGCTTGAAACTGAGTTTTTGGAGATATTAAATATCAATCACAGTGCCTCAAAATAATTGAATTTGAGGGTAAAAAACAAAGAGGAAATTGATATCTCTGTAACATTAAAAAGACACACTGTAGGGCAATTACTTACATTTCTACACACCAACAATAACAGAAAAGAAAATTAAGAAAATGAATTGATTTCAATCAAATCAAAAGAATGCTTCAAATAAATATAACTAAGGAGGTAAAAGACTTATACATTGAAAATTACAAACTTTTATCAATATCCATACAGAATATTAAGGAACCCTAAACACCCAACACAATTTTGAAAAGGAATAACAATGTTGGAGGACTCTATTTCTTCATTTCAAACCATATGACAAAGCCATAGGAATAAAAACAATGTGATACTAGAATACAGATATATTGACCAATAGAATAGAGTCTAGAATTAATTCCTTTTATATTTGGTAAAATTATTTTTCACAAGGATACCACTCAATCCAAATAGGTAAGGGAGGTCATTACCACTAGATCTATCCTAGAAAATATACTAATGGAAGTTCTTCATATTGAAGTGAAAGGATACAAAAGACAGTAACTGAAAGCCATATGAAGAAATAAAGATTTTCAGCAAAGGGAAATACATAGTGAGTATAAAATATCAATTATTTGTTTGTAACTCAAATTTTTATTTTGAACTTTATTTCAAAGATAAATAGTATCATAAGATGGCCACTGCGTACGGGGATTGCTGAAGTGCTGAGCGTGGTGCTCAGAGCAACGGCTTTAATCATGATTTCACGCAGCTTGTTAGAGCTCCTTTCACCATTAATCTGTAGCAGACCACCTTGCCAAGCAGCAGAAAAAACAAAGAGATTGAAAGAGAGACACTTGGCTCCCGGACGCTTTCCTGCTCAGAGCCACGGGCGC